ACTCTGATGAGGACTCCTGACATTTTACATGATATTAGGAGGCACAGGTTCTGTTTAATCATCCTAATATAATGACAGCCTAGTACATACTAGTGTCCCCTGCTCACTCCTGAACCACCTCTGTCTGTCATTTCCAGGTTGTGACTCATGAACAGGAAATACTGATTCCCTGCATTTTTGTTACAATGTTGGCATTATGCCCCCTGACTTTTTATACTGCACCCCCAGATGAGATAGATCCGGCACTGATTGAAAGAAGAAGAGGAGAATAGAAGGACATCGGGGACACCCCAGCCAGAAACCCAGGGCTTTAAATGCCTATAGCAGTGTTTAGCTCTTCGGGGACATGGAGGGGTGGACGTATTGTATCCACAGAGCCCCGGATATTAACAATTTCTTATGTGTGTCTTGGGGAATGCTAGTAAGCTTTTCGTTGGGGGCACTTTATTTTCAATTGGTTTTAAGCAGGATTAAGGGTCATATGTTGGGCTTAGTTTTGTATCAGTAACACTTATGGTACTAAATAGAAACACTTTGCTTCTTACCTGAGGTATTAGCCCACCAAATGAAGAAGTGTTTAGCCGAATGCTAAAGTCTTTAGGAATCTAAAAATGAATGTAATTACATTATGTAATAGCAGCCAACGTTTGTTAAGGTTGTACAGTATGTTGTGTTACATGGTATTCCACATCAAGTGTATTTTATATTTTTAGAATGTAAAGAACCCCTTTACAGAATACTATCTTTTCTCTGTGGCCAGGAGTGCAGAATCTGCTGCATGAAATCCAGGAAAAGTCCAATAATCTTCAAGAACTGTATTCAAAACAAACAAAGCCCCCTTCTTTGAGTAATTACCTCTATCCTATGGGCCCATGGCAGTTACAACAGTAAAAGATAGTACAGGGTTTCTGCACTTTAAAGTGTAATTTCACCTGTTCAGAAAAAAATTAAAAAAAAGTGACCCAACACCATACACTTAACCCCACCCCATGGGCCCCACTGTACTTACTGTACCTCCATGAGTGATGATCTGTCAGTACTGCCGGTGCAGATTTGAAATACCCGCTCTTCTTCTTTTTTATGAAGGGCTTCTGGGATAGACAACAGCATTTCTGATTGGTTATCACGTGACTGATTTGACCAATCAGAAGCCCTCTGATCTGTGCCAGAAAAAATGGGATGAAGAGCAGGGATTTCAAATCCAGACCACCATACTGGCTGTGTGAACGCTGACAGACCATCACCCATTGAGGTAAGTACTGCGGGGACCAGGGGGGTAAGGAGGGTGTACATTAGTTCACCATTTTTTCTGAAAATGTGAACTAAAACTTTAAGGGCTGATCCACACTATAGAAACGCATTCCGGATGTGTTTTTTACACGTTTTTTGGAGCGTTCCAGTGTGTTTTTGACGCATTCCAGTGCATTTTTTATGCATTCAAGTTCATTTTTTCCCCTCTCTTTGCAGGGCTCTGTACCCCGCATTGGTCTTGTTGACGACCTTAGACTGCTGGAGCACAGGGGAAAAGGTACTGTGGGGTCTAGCAGCATAGAGGATCGAGTAAGTAGATCTTCTTTTCTATGTGTATTAGACCTAAACAAGCAATTAACGGCCGCACGGCAATGGATATTTTTTCAGTTTCCCAGAGTTGGGCTGATATATTTTGCAAACTCACGTTGGGCAGCTTGGCAGAATGTATTTATGCATGTGTGATACCTAATTAGCCTCTCTGGATACTGTAAGTCACTGTAGAAGCCCGAGCTACCACAGTGGTGGGTATGGTCTTTCAGAGGCAGTGGCTACCCTGCTGCGCATTGATCTCAGGAGGTCGCTCACTCAGCATGGCCGCTATGAGAACACTTGCAGTTTTCTAAATGAATGCAAAGCTCCCTGCTTGAACAAGGTTTAGATTGTAATGTCACTGCCCCTCTTCTCCACCTTGTCCAATCAGAGAATGCTTTGCATTCATTGAGAAAAATGCAATGCGGTGTTCTCTGAATGGTGTCTAGAAGGAGTTGGAAGATTGTGCCCATCACTGTAGAGGCTCAGGATACTAAAGAAATGTATAACTTCCACAGAAGCTGTTTAGGTATTACGCATACATGCTTACATGTGCCAAGCTGTCCCAATGTAAGTATGCAAAATATATCATCCATGCAGTTCAGCTTTAAATATGGAGGCAGCAATAGTTTTCTTTTCTCAAGCTTATTATATTTTTGCAAGTACAGAAATATACCTTTTGAACCTGACAAAAATCATTACAGATGTGCACAATGGAAAAAAATGTGTTTTGTTTCGAATTTGTTTGTTAATAATTTCTTAGATTGTAAGCTGCAAGGAGCAGGGCCCTCCTAACCCTCTTGTATTGAACTGTATTGTTGCTGTATTGTCTCCCTTTACAGTATATTGTAAAGCGCTAAGCAAACTGTTGGCGGTATATAAATCCTCTATAATAATAATAATAATTTTGTGTTGTCATATTTGTTGTATTAGAATGATTCATTTTTGGAATTTGTTTCATATATTCATTATTTTCGAATTGATTCGAATTTCAGAATTCGAATTTTGGAAGACGGCTAAATTCTTTCTATTGTATTCTGTTCTATTCTACTATAATCTATGCTAGTTTTTTTCTATTCTATTCTTTTTCTATTCTATTTTTTCTATTCTATTTTCTTTTTATAATCTATTCATTTGTTTTCTATTCTATTCTTTTATTTTATGTTCTAGCCCGTTTTATCCTATTCTTTTTTATTCTATTATTTTCTATTCTATTCTTTTCTGTTGTATTCTATTTATATTCAATTCATTTATATTCTATTCTCTATTTTATATTATTCCATTCTGTTTTATTCTATTCTTTTTCTATTCTGTTCTATTCTATTCTATTTTTTACTTTTACATTCTATTATGTTCTATTATATTCTATAAAGCAGCCTAAGTAGGAATCATCTTATTTCACTTTTATACCTTACTGCAATATGTTTCCATTTCAAATTCAAATTCATTTTCAAATTCTAATTTGAACTAATTTTCAAATCTGAATTATTCGTTTTGTTATAATTTATTCTGGATTCATTGAAATTTGTTTCTATTGTGATTTGGAAATTTGGATGCATTGAAATCTCCGAATAATGAAAATTTTGCCTGAATTTATATTCGTATTGAAACGAATTGCACGTCTAAAAATTATGTTTCTATGTACCTTTCCTGTGTACTGAGCTGAAAGTTCAAACGGTGCTATCAACCTTCCTACTCATCTTAGTAGTAGTAGTTGTAGTAGTAGTTGCTTCTAGTTGAAATTGGAAGAGTAGCTGAGGATGAAATCATTGTTCCTCCATATATACACTACAGTGATAAATGTCATCACCCTAGGACAGGAAATGTGTTATTTGCACGATCACCAGGTATATGTTTGGCGCAAAATAACACTGCACATCACCAAAGAACACCATACCCACAGTGAAGCATGGTGGTGGCAGCACCATGTTTTGGGGCTGTTTTTCTTCAGCTGGAACTGGGGCCTTAGTCAAGGTAGAAGGAATTATGAGCAGTTCCAAATACCAGTCAATATTGGCACAAAACCTTCAGGCTTTTTCTAGAAAGCTGAACTTGAATAGGAACTTGATCTTTCAGCACGACAACGACCCAAAGCATACATCCAAACTAACAAAGGAATGGCTTCACCAGAAGAATATTAAAATTTTGGAATGGCCCAGCCAGAGCCCAAACCTGAATCCGATGGTAAATGTGTGTGGTGAACTGAAGAGGGCTGTGCACAGGAGATTCCCTCGCAATCTGACCGATTTGGAGTGTTTTTGCAAGGAAGAATGGGCAAATATTGCCAAGTCAAGATATGTCATGCTGATAGACTCATACCCAAAAAGACTGAATGCTGGAATAAAATCAAAAGGTGCTTCAAGTATTAGTTTAAGGGTGTGCACACTTATGCAACCATATTATTTTAGTTTTTTATCTTTACTTCCCTCCACCTAAAAGATTTCAGTTTGTTATTCAACTGAGTTGTACAGTTTATAGGTTACATTAAAGGTGGAAAAAGTTCTGAAATTATTTATCTTTGTCTCATTTTTTTACATGACAGAAACCTAACATTTTAACAGGGGTGTGTAGACTTTTTTTTATCCACTGTATATGATGTTCTTGGTGGACCAATGACAAAGGCCCAATAAATTTTTTAGAACAGGAATGTATGAATGAAGCACCACGCTGCAGTCCATAAATAACAACTCCTCTCCCATAAAAGATCAAAGATGGTAGAAAAGGCCAGTGCTCTTCTGGGGCAAAAGCTTGGCCTTGCATCACATCAATCAATGTATTCTGTATTTCAGAAGTTGCTTTTAGGTGGTGTTGGAGCCCTTTTGGTTTGCAGCTGCGGCCTAGTGAATAGACCAGCCTTTCTCAACATTTTTCACATGGAGGAACCCTGAAGAAAAACTTTCAGGTCTCAAGAAAGCCCTACCAATAATTACTATATCAGCAGCTCAAGGTACGTTATTGTGATGGTCAGTGGGATGAATGCTCCTTACATTGGTGATCAGTGAGAGGAATATCCTCCTTACAAATGGCTAAAAAGATTATTGGTGTCAGTGGTTACATATCTGAGAGGCAGATGTTTCTCACTGCTCAAGGATCCTCTAGCAACCTTTGGAGGAACCCTAGGGTTCTGCAGAACTCTGGATGAGAAAGGCTGGCCTAGACACTGCACTGAAACACAACTCTTACACCATTATAAGGGAATGCGAAAAATCCCAGGGATCCAGATCCATCAATCTATTTTACCTGGTATGGTTTATGCCTAGTACACATAATAAGAAATTTGGATGAAAAATACCGCTTTCGGAGCGATTGTCCGATAATCTGATTGTTAGAACACAGCTTTTGAGAGCTGATCATGACCGTTCATGGGAAATTATCCAAAGGGACAAGCCCACAAATTTTTCTCATACAATAACAGATGGACCGATTTTCATTTAATCAGTACAGTATTCATCCATAAAAAATTACCAAGACCATGCACGAAAAATTAAAGAATACATTTACATTACAATACATTACATCACTTCCAAAATTGTATTCTGTCGTACAAGAATTTTCGTAACTTTAGTAATCTCTTCATTTTCGATATGAGACTAGCATGCACAAAAAAAATGGATGACCATTTGTCCAATATTCTCATCGTGTGTACTAGGACTTATTCAGTGCAACAACTGGACCACACCAGGACACCAAACTCAGTAACAGTCACTTCTGCAGCTACCTCATTGTCATACTACTCCTCATAGCAGCATGTACATTACAGAAACCACCCATCCTCCCACATCTATTATATACTATCCTGGACATCTACTTTAGGCCTTAACATACCATGTCATCAGTGACACTGAAGATGAGTTTCCCAGCTGAATGGTATACAAAGCCAGCTGTGTTAAACAAGTAATTAGAGACTCCAAAATAAATCATGAGGTTGTGGTCATCAGGTAAGGACAGTGATGGCGGTGAAAAAGGAGGAGGTGTGCGATGGGACAGTTCAAAAAATTCCCCCTGTGGAAAACACAATGAATAAATATCATTATAGAGTCACGTCATGTTGTGTATATCATATCTCTGTGCAATCAAATAGACTGAAGCCAAAAAGATGAATACATGTTCCCTGTATTTAAAATAGGTACAGTGGGGCAAAAAAGGTTTTAGTCAGCCACCAATTGTTCAAGTTCTCCCACTTAAAAAGATGAGAGAGGCCTGTAATTGGCATCATAGGTAGACCTCAACTATGAGAGACAAAATGAGAAAACAAATCCAGACAATCACATTGGCTTATTTGGAAGGAATTTATTTGCAAATTATGGTGGAAAAATAAGTATTTGGTCACCTACAAACAAGCAAGAGTTCTGGCTCTCACAGACCTGTACCTTCTTCTTTAAGAGGCTCCTCTGTCCTGCACTCATTATCTGTATCAATGGCACCTGTTTGAACTTGTTATCAGTATAAAAGACACCTGTCCACAACCTCAAACAGTCACACTCCAAACTCCACTATGGTGAAGACCATAGGACTGTCAAAGATTATTCCAAACTTTAAAAGTATTTTTTAGTTTAAGCAAAAGAGGGTCTAGGTTATTCTGAATATATTGGAAAAGAAGTTGTTCTATTATTATGCCCAAGTATCAGAAGTTGTGAACAATTTTCAAAGGGCAAAAGGACGGGACATTGGCAAGGGCATCTCGGTCTAACAGGAAGATAAGGGATTTTTCCCAAATTACCCAAAAGCCTGAGTAATGTCCAAAAGTCTGAATGACATTTAAAAGAACGGGTAATGATGCTTGTGGGTTTTCTAAATATGTAAGAGCATGTTGTCTGCATATAAGGAAATCTTTTCTTCCAATCCATTATTAGTCAACTCAGGTATATTAGAATTAGTTTGAAGTAATTCAGCGAAGGGTGAATAACAAGGGTGATGGGGGGCAGCCCTGTTTGGTTTCCTGCGTTATAGTAAAGGACTGAGAAACATAATTATTTACCCTTATTACAGTCACGGCTTATAGTATAACTTTTTTATCCACCTAAGGAAATTAGGTCCAAAGCAAAATTTTGCAAGTACCTCCAGTAGATAGGGTCATTCGACTGAGTCAAAAGCATTATGGGTTTCCAGCACTAATACAGCCCTGGAGCCTACAACATCATGTGTGTCCTGGAGATTTGTAAATAGCCTGTGTAAGTTAATGAATTTAGATCGTCCCAGAATAAATCCAGTTTGGTCTGAGTGTACTATAGAGATGGAATAATAGGATTCACAATAGAGGTGGTCCTTATGTGGTTTCAGAATGAGTGTTAGTGCCTCTGACATAGAAGGGGGCAAGCAGCCAGCTTGAAGGCATAATTAAACTCCTGAAGTAGGTGCTGTAGAGGATACCTTTATATTGCCAGTACCACTCAATAGGAAAGCCATCCAGGCCTGGTGCAAAGAAGACATGGCTATTCAATTTCCTTTGTTGTAAAAGGGGCATCTAGAAGCAAAACTTGGCTTACGGACAATTTAGGAAGTCAGATATCATATAAATAATCATCTAATTCAACAATATTATAGTGTGCTTTAGTTTAGAAAAATACAAAAGAATGGACCACATCTTGGGTTTGTTCAAAAATTACTCCTGTAGAAGTCATCATTCTAGGAATAGTACAGAGTTGAAAGTCTGGTTTGGAGGATATGCTAATAGGCGACTGTTCTTATCATCTAGCTCGAATATTCTCTAACTAGGAGTTTTTTTTTGGCTTCGTTCTATAGGAATCAAATACAATTCCCTGGCCTTAGTGTGCCAGTCAGCAAAAGTGACTGGGGTAGGCGTGGTAGAGTAATGGGCTTCGAAATCAGTTTCAAAGCCAAATTTAGTAAAAAGGTGGTGTTAATGAGCAGTATTATTTATTTGCAGGTTTACAATTTGCGATATACTACTATAAACCAGTGCTAGCACAAGCAGTAGTAACAAACTCACCTTCAGTGGAACATCCACATATGCTGCAGTCACAGGTGGAGGGCCAGTGAGAGAATAATCAATGGCAGCTACTTTGTCAATCTTTGCTGTCACTGCAAGAAACATGATATAAAAGTAATTTGCCCAAATTGGGATTCCTTTATAACTGCCAAGTCTGTGCACACATGTCCCTATCCTGCCATCAAGGGTCAGATTCTATACTTTGTAATAGGCATACACTTTGAAAAGACGAGTTGGAATGGTAGTGAGTTCTTGGGCAGATGGGTTTTTCTCTTCCCTTTTCACTCTTGTTTTCTTTACTGTAGTTGGAAAGCTTCTGCATCCCTAAGTGATTCACTATTACAATGGCCCAATGGCAGTAATGATATTTAATTTCCGGTGTATAGCTTGTTTTTATTAAGTAATTTATTGACAGCATATCATGATTCCTCAATATCTGACGTATTTTTATGTTTGACTTGTGCAGTATAATTTACAACATAATTCATCTTGGATAATACTCTGGAGCAGGGTTTCTCAGCTAGGACTCCATGGAACCCTAAGGTTCATCCAAAGGTTGCTAGGGGTTCCTTGAGCAATGAGAAACCTCTGCCTCTCCGATAAGTTCCCCTTGATGCCATTGATCTTTTTAGCTATCTGTAAGGGGCTAATTCTTTACAATGACCACAAGTGTAAGGAGCATTCTTCTCACTGACTATCACACTAATGTATCATGAGTTATATTAATTATTATCATGGGTTCCCTGAGACTGGAAAGATATTTCAAGGGTTCCTCTGTGTTGAAAAGTTTGAGAAATGCTGCTCTAGAGCACTTAAAGAGGACCTTGCAGTAAAATGCAAGGTTCACTTACACTGCTCAGTCTCCTTTCCCTTCACAAATCACCTACAATTAGTAGGTGTCTAACAATTAGTGAGTGTCTACTTGCAAGATTTCGCCTGTTCTACATTCCTCAGGAATCTTCTCAGGACAGTGATGTCATGCCTAATGATGTGGAAAATGGGGGTAAGGTAGGTATAATTCAGCTTTTTTTTTAATCACATGCATTTTTTAAATTAATTTTTTTACTTTTTTAATCATTTACAAACATAACCAACATTTTCCACCTATCCACCTATCTCTCATTCTTCCTAAACCAAGCAAAACAAGAACATACAGAGACATGTTGTTAGGAAAAGGATGAATATCCTCTAATATGAGCTTTCATCCACAGTCAGCAACATGATGGACAATGATAGTTACATATATATAATATGGTATATACACCCTGAAACGACATAGAGCCACAGAGGTGGAGAAAGGGAAATTAGGCATAGTATCTGGGAACCTCAAAAAGGAGTTGGAAGTCGACTGGATCCCTCTGATTCAGCTTACTTTGGGTGAGCTAGAGAGATATAGATAATGAAGGGGCGATTCAGTTTTAGGAGAGAAACTGACATGTTATTTTTGAGAAGGTGGCCAAACCAGGGGTACTGAGCCAATTTCCCAAACGTTTTTTTTTTTTAAATTTAGCTGGGCAACTCCTTTGTATGTATATCAATTTCTCCCATGTCAAAATATCATTAACTAGATGGATCCATGTGGAATGGTCTGGTGGAGAGGAAACAGACCACCTCTGTGCTATAAATTGATATTCTAAAAAAAAGGTCTTGTATATGCACAGTGGGGGGGATCAATTCCTCATCCATGAGATCATACAAAAATAATTTGGTAACCAAGGATAAATCAGTGTAAAAAATTTTACTGATCGTGGTTAACACTTCAGCCCAGTAACAAAATCATTTTGGGCATCTCCATAGCATGTGGATGAGATTTACAGGTGCATTTTGCACCTGGTAACAGTAGATGGTTTGTAAAGGGAGAGGGGAATTTCAGCAAATCTTGCATTTGACTGCAAGGTCACCTTTAAAATTGGGTTATCCAAGAACATAAGGAAAAGGGCAAAAACTAGTATCACATGCCAAACATTCAGCTTCCAGAAAGTATGGGGATGGATGCAATAGTGTACACCCTTGCACCTTGCCCAAAAAGGTACAGTTGAACTTGAGCAGAAAGTTGGGTGACTCATTCCTAACTGATCCTCGAAATTTACAATAAGCCATCACCATGATTTTTTGGTACTGAGAGTGGCAGCTCACCTGGAAGTGTTTGTAGAAGTGGTTCCAGCTTAGTGGCAATGGCATTTTTGACCAATGGACAGATCTATAGAGAAGAAAACACAAAGGTAACCAAGAAATTACACTAGTTAAATACTGATATAGTATATTCATTTTTTGGTGTTTAGGGAAAAAAAACAGTACAATTTAAATCGCTTGGCTTTTCTTTTTTTGTCAGATAAATATTAATGGTATGATTAATATTTTATTTCTACTACTACTGGCAGCGGGTTGTGGCTTTTTTTTTGCATTTATGCTTAGTCGCTTTACTACTATGCTGTGAATAGCCTGGTATAAGGCTGTAGTTAGACAGAGAATAAATAGTAAACATGCTATGCTGATTTTTTTTTTTAATTAGAACAATATGAACATATTCCCAGTTACCTGACCCTCTATAGCCTTCCTTAATGCGCTTTCAACGTTGTGTTTGAAAAGATCGACCAGCCAGCTGCAAAAGAGAAGACATGCTGGTTAAGTTTCTCCCACTCAAGTGAAGGATTTCATCAAGTTTTAAAGTATATCTCTAGGCAAAATTAAAAAAATCATATTCAGTACATTCTTGCAATAGATGAACATATTATCCATGTTTTGTCTGTTCAAAAATGCTGCAAATACAGAAATATACCGGTTGATCTTTTCAGAAATCCAATGTGCTCCTAACTTCCCTTATGAGCCGACAAAGCTGCCCCTGTTTTAATAGAATTCCAAGCTGTGCTTTGAGCCCTGTATGAGGATTCCCTTGCTGGGCTACAGAACACCACCAACCCCTCTCCTCATCTCCATAACATAAAGGAGGAGTGTTCTGTAGTCCAGCGGAGGAGAACTTAGACAGGGCTGATTATAATTTCAGTGCAGTAAAGATAGCTTTTTCAGTCCACTTCAGGAAATTAGGAGTTTTCTGGATTTCTGGCAGATACTTAAGGCCTCATACACACTGCTACTCCTAAATGTGAGTTTAGGAGCTTTTAAGTTTTGTTTTTTTGCCAAAGCCCCTGAACTCAACTCAGTAAAAGCCTATGTGTCCATCAGGGGCGGACTGACAACTCATGGGGCCCCCGGGGCAATAGGGGATCATGGGGCCCCTGTGTCCTTGCCCAAACTCAAAAAAGCCTATGAAAAAGGTACCAGGGGCATCTCATGGGGCCCCCTACTGACCCCGGGCCCTCGGGCAGTGCCTGAGTTTCCAAATGGTCAGTCCGCCCCTTGTGTCCATGTACGTATAGGCTTTTACCAGAGTTCAGGAGCAGCAGAGTTTAGGGGCAGTTAAACGTTTCCTGAACGCAGAAGAATTGTGTTCAGGAGAGAAACGTTTTGTCCAGAAAAAGGCAAATGCCATAAACGTGCCTAAGCATTAGCCGTGTTTATTCATTTCAGTGGCAAGTACTCTGGCCAACTAAATGATTAAACATCCAAGCGCTAAGCGTAGTACCGCATTTACATGTGTTTTTGCGTTTTTAGCGGGTTTTGCCATTTTTCTGCTGCCAGGAGAGTTAATCTTTTGGGGAGTTCCAGTGTACAAGTAGCCTAAGAAATGTACCTGTATTGCAGAGATATACTTTATATGTTTATCTTTCGTTTTCCTTAGGCATGCACTTTAGGAGAACCAGATAAGAAGGTGTTTATCTAATAACCTGAAACTCCATAGTATAATAGTGCAGTTTCACCTCTCAAGGTTTACTTAGCTCTTTGCTGCTGGTGGGAGCTTGCATCATGACGCAGAGGCCGGTAGGAGAGGCTCCAGGTTATTCATTCACTGTGATTGGCTGCACAATGATAACCTAATCAGGAACCTTCTTGCTTGGATAGCTCAGCTGTACTTTCCGGGGGGCGGGGGGACAGTTGAGCAATCACCAGAACAGAGACGCATATACAGTATCTCACAGAAGTGAGTCCACCCCTCACATTTTGTAAATATTTTATTATATCTTTTCATGTGACAACACTGGAGAAATGACACTTTGCTACAGTGTAAAGTAGTGAGTGTACAGCTTGTATAATAGTGTAAATTTGCTGTCCCCTCAAAATAACTCAACACACAGCCATTAATGTCTAAACCCTGGCAACAAAAGTGAATACACCCCTAAGTTAAAATGTCCAAATTGGGCCCAATTAGCCATTTTCCCTCCCCGATGTCATGTGACTCATTAGTGTTACAATGTCTCAGGTGTGGATGGGGAGCAGGTGTGTTAAATTTGGTGTTATCGCTCTCACTCTCTCATACTGGTCACTGGAAGTTCAACATGGCACCTCATGGCAAAGAACTCTCTGAGGATCTGAAAAAAAGAATTGTTGTTCTACATAAAGATGGCCTAGGCTATAAGAAGATTGCCAAGACCCTGAATCTGAGCTGATTCTGGAAGGCTGCATCTGGAGTGTGTTAGGGGACAGAGACTTGGCAATCCTATAAGGGATGAAGTTTCTGGAGGGGACTGGATTTTGTCTCCATGGTGGCCAAGACCATACAGCGGTTTAACAGGACAGGTTCCACTCAGAACAGGCCTTGCCACGGTCGACCAAAGAAGTTGAGTGCACGTGCTCAGTGTCATATCTAGAGGTTGTCTTTGGGAAATAGACGCATGAGTGCTGCCAGCATTGCTGCAGAGGTTGAAGGGGTGGGGGGTCAGCCTGTCAGTGCTCAGACCATACGCTGCACACTGCATCAAATTGGTCTGCATGGTTGTCGTCCTAGAAGGAAGCCTCTTCTAAAGATGATGCACAAGAAAGCCTGCAAACAGTTTGCTGAAGACAAGCAGACTAAGGACATGGATTACTGGAACCATGTCCTGTGGTCTGATGAGACTAAGATATAGTTATTTGGTTCAGATGGTGTCACGCGTGTGTGGCGGCAACCAGGTGAGGAGTACAAAAACAAGTGTGTCTTGCCTACAGTCAAGCATGGTGGTGGGAGTGTCATGGTCTGGGGCTGCATGAGTGCTGCTGGCACTGGGGAGCTACAGTTCATTGAGGGAACCATGAATGCCAACATCTACTGTGATATACTGAAGCAGAGCATCATCCCCTCCCTTTGGAGACTGGGCCACAGGGCAGTATTCCAACATGACAACGACCCGAAACACACCTCCAGGATGACCACTGCTTTTCTAAAGAAGCTGAGGGCAAAGGTGATGGACTGGCCAAGCATGTCTCCAGACCTAAACCCTATTGAGCATCTGTGGGGCATCCTCAAATGGAAGGTGGAGGAGCACAAGGTCTCTAACATCCACCAGCTCTGTGATGTCATCATGGAGGAGTGGAAGAGGACTCCAGTGGCAACCTGTGAAGCTCTGGTGAACTCCATGCCCAAGAGGGTTAAGGCAGTGCTGGAAAATAATGGTGGCCACACAAAATATTGACACTTTGGGCCCAATTTGGACATTTTCACTTAGGGGTGTATTCACTTTTGTTGTCAGCGGTTTAGACATTAATGGCTGTGTGTTGAGTTATTTTGAGGGGACAGCAAATTTACAGCTATACAAGCTGTACACTCACTACGTCACATTGTAGCCAAATTTCTTCAGTGTTTTCACATGAAAAGATATAATAAAATATTTACAAAATGCGATGGGTGTACTCACTTCTGTGAGATACTGTATGTAGCAACTCGGTGTTAAGGCACACATGTGGATTGGGAAGGTACATTCACAATGAATGGCATTGCAGCTCACTAATGCACACATAGCGGTCGATCTACTAAAGGCAAACAGACTGTGCACCATACAAGGTGCAGTTTCACACTGCAAGTGCAATTGTTCCAGAGCTTTGTAAATTAGATAAATATTCACTTTGCAAGGAAAGCTGAAAGAAAAAAAATCACTTTTGCTTGCACATGATTGGATGGTAGAAGTCAGCAGAGCTTCTGCTCATTTATTAAGCTCTGGAGCAACTGCTCTTATAGAGTACAACTGCACTTTGCAAAGTGCACAGTCTATTTGCCCTTAGTAGATCAACCCCATAGTACATGATCAGGGTCGGACTGACCATTTGGAAACTCGGGCACTGCCTGAGGGCCCGGGGTCAGTAGGGGGCCCCATGAGATGCCCCTGGTACCTTTTTCATAGGCTTTTTTGAGTTTGGGCAAGGACACAGGGGCCCCATGATCCCCTATTGCCCGGGGGCCCCATGAATTGTCAGTCCGCCCCTGTACATGATCACAGCACACAGGTTTGAATAGGCTCTTTAATGGTGTTCTTTTACTGTCAAAGCAAAAGTGTCAAGTTGAAAAGTTTCTACAGAGCCTGATCTAAGTGATGACAACAAATAGTCTCTTGAGGCTGCTGGAGAAAAGTTAAACACTTAACAAAGCTTTAGGGTTTTTATGCAATGTCGATTTCACTTTTGTGAAAGAACAGTTTCAAAAGTATCTATTGTTGGCACTAAGCTTGGGCAGGAGATAGGACAGTCTATGCTGAGGCTTCCAGACTGGCACTCACCTTGACACTTTTATTCTGACAGGGAGAGAATACCAACAAATAATTAAAAAAGAGCAGTATAGGATGAACATTCTAGTTCTATTATATTAATAAGTATAACAACAATTAACAACTTACCCGTACCGCCCTGATACATGGACATCGACATTCGAGATATGACAGCTACAGTCAGAGGGAGCTATCGTTGGTCTGCCCGCTCCATCGCTGCCCACTTTTAGTCCGACAGATATACTGAGTCCTTCCACCTTCACATCAAATCCACCGCTAAATGATCTAAACACGGGATCACATGTCCAGAAAACATGAACACGGGTCAAGGTTTTTTTTTTCATTTACATTTCAGCTTCCCACAAGCATTGAAAGTACTAAAAGACAGAGTATCACAACGACAAGCAGCTAGCTTTTTCGGAAGGAGGTCATGAATGTCAGTCTATGACCGATTTACTTTGGTATTCTTTTTATTAGTCTGAAACAAACTCTTAACCATCAAGTTCAAACTCTCATTGCATCAGCAGTTTTCAGGGGCTCAAACAAATGGGGGTTAAAAAAATGTTACCAATACCACTAGAGCAATGAGTTCAATTCCCTGGATCAGGATGTCCCCAAACTATTTTTTTAGTAATAATAGCTGCGGATATCATTAGTTGTAGAAAAAAATTGAAAATGTATTTAAATGCCACTATGGGTTCTGACTTATGCAGGCCATAGACGGGACATTTATCGGCCGAACTGTCGGCCAAACGAATAATCGGCCGATATTCACACCGTTAGTGGGGTCGGCCGATTTTCATGGTTCTTCTCGTTTCTTTTTATCGGTCATGCTGGAAAATCTACGAAAAACATCCATTTTTTGTAAGCATTGGAAGCAGTAACGACCGATTTTTCATCAATTCGGCCATAAACGTCCCGTCTATGGCCAGCATTAGAGGGGGAAGAATTCTCCATTTTGTTAAGTTTCACAAACAGCACATCTTATTTTGTGAGGAAGAGAAACTTCTTTATATGATCAGCAACCATGCTAATATGTTAAGCTGTTAGTCTTAATACAACAATTTTTTTTTAAAAAGTTTTTTTAGCATCGTTACGACATTATTTTTTTACGTACATTTTATTTTTTTGCAATTTATATATATAATTTTATATATTTTTTTACTTCTATGTTCATTTTACAGTTTTGTTATATTCATCGTTTTAATCCTTATATGTTTATACTGTATATGTCCTATTTTTATGGGATTATTACATTTCAATGCTTTAATTTAGATGTAATTATGTTTTTGTGGTATAACCAGGTCTGTATACCTATATGCATGTAAACTTTGACATCATTATGTTTTATATTTGTTCTTGAAGCCCTGGCTGGGGGGTGGGGGGCTTTCTGGTCCCTGAAATGCTTTGGCTTGTTTTATATGACTTATTTATTAGTTAAAGTTGAACTCTAGGTATTATCTTAATTGCATTGCTTACATCCAGCTGGTCCAGCTTGGAGCAATGTAAGAATGCGTATTTCATACCTGAAAGTGATTCTAAAGGTAAATTAATGAATCAAAATGACATACATGTCATATTTACTGTACCTGCTCTGTGCAATGGTTTTGCTCAGAGCAGCCCTGATCCTCCTCCTCTCGGGTCCCCCACCGGCTCTCCTGCTCCTCCTTTTCAGTGAGCGCCCCCATAGGAAACCTCTTCCTGTGGGGGCACTCATGCGGGCTTGCTCCTGAGCCCTGCTTCCATAGACACAGACAACAGGACTGTCACCCAGCTCCCTCCTCACTGGTTGTAATTGACAGCAGTGGGAGTCAATAGCTTCTGCTGCTGTGTCTCAGCCAGGGAGGAGAGAGAGACCTGGGAGAGCCTCTGCTCTCGTGCACTTCCCTGGACTGACAGGTAAGAATAAGGGGGAGCTTTGCAGGGGAGCTGAATACAGAGGTTTTTTACCTTCATGCATAGAATGCATGAAGGTAATAAAAACTTCAGCCTTTATAACCACTTGAAGGAATGCTGTGGAATCACTGCAGTAGTAAGCTCTGCTACAATGACCACTGCAATCATCCTGGTCCTGCACCAAGCAGCTTCCCCACTTCAAGTGACTACAGGGGGTTCTTCCCTCGGCATGATTTACAGATCACCTTGTATTTTTTTTCAGTCAAGACAAGACATTTTCTGATTGGACTAGGTGGAGAGGAGAGGCAGTAATGATATGATCTCCACCTTGTCCAATCAAGAATGTCTTGGAATAGTTGAAAAAAAAACCCCCAAAGCAGTCTGTGAACGGTGGTGGTGTCCTGTGTGATCAGTTACTCAGCCCTGCACGCAGAATATCGCAGCTATCACTCTAGTAGCATCGGTTACTATAATGATTATGTATTTACAAAGTGGTCCTTCAGGTATGAGTTATGAGAAAACAGAGCAGATCACCCCTGACTAACAATGCCTTTTGGTAATAAGGAGCAGAATCTGCTTTGTTTTCTCAAAGTGGCAGAGACTTTATGCCTTTGGACGCTAGGCAAAAAAAAGGCTTCCAACACATAAACAAGTGTGATGGACAATAAAGATCCTTCAGCAATATTCCATCTTCAATGCAGAGATTTTAATTACCACAGGAATGAATAAGAAGTCTAGTTAAAACTAAACGCAGAAAGATCAGGGGACATAACCTACGGTTAGTATGGCATGTCCCTTGTCCTGATTCTTAGTATGGCGTGTCCCTTGTCCTGATTCTTAGTATGGCATGTCCCTTGTCCTGATTCTTAGTATGGCATGTCCCTTGTCCTGATTCTTAGTATGGCGTGTCCCTTGTCCTGATTCTTAGTATGGCGTGTCCCTTGTCCTGATTCTTCTGCTATCAGTAGAAATCTTATCTTATGACTCCTGTATTCTCTAGAGACAACCTACAACACTTGCCCTGTACCAATGATGCAAAAAAATTCTCAGTGTCTATTTTGTGTTTACTCATTGATAGAGATACAGTTGCAAGAAAAAGTATGTGAACCCCTTGGGATTACGTGCCCCTCCCCCCCCCCACCCCCCCCCCCCCCCCCCCCCCCCCCCCCTTAAACTTGAGTTTTGCATGAATTGGGCATAAAATGTGCTCTGAACGGCATCTAAGTCACAACAATAGAAGAACACAGTCTGCTGAACATAATACTACACAAATATTAGATGTTGCCATGGTTTAATTGCACATAACATGTAAACATTCACAGTGCAGGGAGGAAAAAGTATGTGAAGCCCTAGCTTAATGACTTCTCCCAGAGATAATTGGAGCCAGGAGTGAGCCAACTTTGACTCCAATCAGTGTGATGATATTGGATGTGTTGCTGACAGCTGTCCTGCCCTTAAAAAACACACACCTGTTTTGGGTTTACTGGTTTCAAGAAGCACTGTCTGATGTGAACCATGCCTCGCAGAAAAGAGCTATCAGAAGACCTACGATCAAGAATTGTTGACTTGCATGAAGCTGGAAAGGGTTACAAAAGTATCTCCAAAAGCCTTGATGTTCATGTGTCCACGGTAAGACAGACTGTCTACAAATGGAGAAAGTTTAGCACTGTTGCTACTCTTCCTAGGCGTGGTCGTCCTGTAAAAATGACTGCAAGAGCACAGCGCAGAATGCTGCATGAGGTAAAGAAGAATCCCAGAGTGTCAGCTAAAGACCTACAGAAATCTCTGGCACATACTAACATTTTTGTTGACACATCTACAATAAGGAAAACATTAAACAAGAATGGAGTACATGGGAGGACACCACGGAGGAAGCCATTGCTGTCCAAAAAGAATATTGCAGTACGTTTGAAGTATGCAAAAGAGCACCTGGATGTTCCACAGCACTACTGGCAAAATATACTGTGGACAGATGAAACCAAGATTGAGTTGTTCGGGAAGAACACACAACACTATGTGTGGAGAAAAAAAGGCACAGCACACCAACATCAAAACCTCATCCCCACTGTAAAACATGGCGGAGGGAGCATCATGGTTTGGGGCTGCTTTGCTGCCTCAGGGCCTGGATGGATTGTTGTCATTGATGGGAAAATGAATTCCAGAGTTTATCAAGAATTTTGCAGGAAAACGTACGACCATCTGTCTGCCAACTGAAGCTCTGCAGAGGATGGGTGAGGCAACAGGACAATGACCCAAAGCATACAAGTAATTCAACAAACCAATGGCTGCAACAGCACAGAATACGCCTTCTGGAGTAGCCCAGTCAGAGTCCTGACCCCAACCCGATTGAAATGCTGTGGCATGACCTTAAGAGAGCGATTCACACCAGACATCCCCAAGAATATTGCTACACTGAAACAGTTTTGTGAAGAGGAGTGGTCCAAAATTACTCCAGATCGTTGTGCAGGTCTGATCTGCAACTACAGGAAACGTTTGGTTGAGGTTATTGCTGCCAAAGGAGGGTCAACCAGTTATTAAGTCCAAAGGTTCACATACTTTTTCCTCCCTGCACCGTGAATGTTTACATGTTATGTGCAATTAAACCATGGCAACATCTAATCTTTGTGTAGTATTATGTTCAGCAGACTATGTTCTTCTATTGTTGTGACTTAGATGACGTTCAGAGCACATTTTATGCCCAATTCATGCAAAACTCCACGTAATCCCAAGGGGTTCACATACTTTTTCTTGCAACTGTACCTAGTAGGTAGGGCTTTTTATTTCTCAGAGGAATAGGTGCAGGTACTCCACCCTTCCAAGTCATCTCTTATCCCAACCTACCCACCTCCAAGCACCGTCCCTTGTTCCAGCCCAGAAAATTTTGTGGTGCTAAGTAATTTGTATAGAATTTGTTAATGATAACAAGAATAGTAGTAAAATAAATAGACCCCCTGCAGCCAGCAACAATAGATCTTTCCTCAGCAACAATAGATCCACCATTAACAATAGACCCACTGCAGCATAATACCCCTCATCAACAATAGACCCCCACCAGCAACAATAGATCTCACAGCAGCCAGCAACAATAGACCCCTCCCTCTACAGCAGATTCCTCCCAGCAACAATGACCCCACAGCAATGCAAGACCCCTGCAGCAACAATAGATCCCCCCACCACCAACAGCAGATGTCTCTAGCAACAAAAGGCTGCCACCCTTCTCCCCCAGTAACAATAAATTCATCAGTAACAGTACAATTCCTCAGCATCCAGCAGCAATAGAACACCCCCCCCCCCCCCCAGCAGACCACGGCATGCCTTGCCACTACATACATTCAGTGCTGGAGGTGCCGTACCTGAGCTCCCCCGTGTTCATGCTGAACAAAATTCCTGCTAGTAGGACAGTGGCATTGGTGTAGTTCTTTGTCACCGTACTTTAACAACAATGAATGAAATAATGTAGCACCATGCTGCTTTACCATTTTTAACCTATCAATCCAAATACATTTTAGCATGATTTTGCGCTTCCTATTTTAAAACTGCATCATGCTACAGTGTTAATCCTTTCATTACATTAGAAATAATAGAATACTGGTGCATAATATTTCCTCGGGTTATGAAAAGAGCAGTGAAAATTAGCTTCTAAATAATAATTGAAACAGAAATAACAAAAATTAGAAAATTTTGAATAATTACAGAAATACAATAAATATTTTTTTCTGTGTTTTTTATATCAAATAAGTTGCATTTTTTTACCCTCTATTTAACCATTCTATGTACATTCAAAATCTGCTTTTCCTGTAAACAGTCAGATAGTGACCAACACGACCTTCAATCAGATGACATACACAATAGCATATAGAGCAGCTGTGATTGTCAGTGTTTTAGACCCCGGTCATACCGGTGCGACTTGTCATGTGATTTGATCGTTTAAGACATATTGTTGTGATTCCTGCGATTCTGACTTTGCTGCAGTTGCACAGATTTTGAAAGTAGTGCATGCACCACTTTTTGCAAGTTCAGGTGCGACTTGCATAGACATCTGTACATGACATTGCACAGATGTCTTGCAAGTCGCACCTGAAGTCCTACTGACATCCGACTTGGAAATCGTGCGACTTCAAGTGAAGTCGCACGATTTCAAAGTCAGACTTGGTGTGACCGAGCACTTATAAACAGTGGTCAACTGAGCACAATTATATAAGTAACAATGGACAGTTTTTATTGCTTATGCATAAATAGACCGGTGTTGCAAAATGTATATACACAAGTGTTAATTCTACCCCAAACACCAAAACTATACTTTCACCCCTGAAAGTCCAAAAGTTCAGGTTTAAATCACTGTCGGCATCTCAATGTCCTATATCATCACTAGTGTGGACCAAAACACTAATTTTGTAAGTGCGTTTTTTTGGGGGGGTTTTGGATTATATCAACATATCGTGGATAATGCACTATGTGCTGTTATATTTTTCTTTTTTCTGAGGGTGACAAGTGAATATGAAAGATTTATCACATGTGGAGGAAGAACACTGAATAAGAAGATCATATGTTTTGGTCCACACTAGAGGTGATATAGGACATTGAGGCGCCGAAAGTGATTTAAACTGAGTTTTTATTGCTTAGCACCAAATTTTGTCAGTATTTTTCAGAAAAAAATTAATTAACATCAAATAACCGGGAACGATGTCTGGAAGATATCTTACATGTGAAGCCTTGTCTTGAATCTCCACTTTCCAGAAATCTCAATGAAAGCTCCAGAGATTGACAACTTCAGACCAACATTGGGCACAGGACTGATCTGTGAGCTGGGTAACTGGAAGTTACGGATAGCCATGCTAGACAAGAATAAGACACCATGTTAATAATCAACCAGTGATCATGTCTGTTCATGTAAGAAACACACAAGGAATACAATAAAACTAAAATAATATATTCTGATGAAGCAAGTATACTTTAAAGCAAACGTATAATGGCCTAAAAATTTTAAAATACTGTTGAAGTGCCAACACCTTGTAGTGCCTGAAGGGACTTGTGGTAGTTAGTTTCTGTGTCCCTGAGGCGTTTGGATTTGATATATAGGTCTCTATATACTACACAAAACTTTCATCCAACCTCTAAATTATTGCAATTTTTGGAAAAAGCCAGTATAAAGTAAAAATAGTGCTGGGTAAAAGCCCTCATGGGTATATCCAATCATTTTTGGCATATTTATTCCCTGAGTTACGTGTAAAGAATGGTGTGGGAGAGGAATGTCCTTTGCTGGCATACTTTGTGCTATCTTTGCCGCTTCAGAAAGTGCAGAACTGTAAACTGGCCATACACAGTTACTTCAACCATAGATATGAATTTTCTGAAAAATCTTTCATTAGAGCACACAATACCTACATCATTGATTCAACAAAGTTTGTCCAAAACCACTAAAACGTTTGCTCAATGACCATGCAAATGTTTCGAATTTTTAATTTTTGATGCTGCTATTTTTTTTTTTTCAATTTTATATTTTACGTGAGAGCACATTTGAAGGGTCTGCAACATTTGGCTGAAGAAATAATTGAAAGTGACAATATACAGTTCTTAAAAAATAGTTTAAAACTAAACTAGTAGAACAGGGTCTAGAAAGGAATAACAGTAAGCACCAGGATGGACAGCGGTCGGTTAAAAATTGATAGGTGGAGATAGAAGGGGAGGCCTTGACTATTAGGCTGGCTTTGACTATTAGGCTTTAATTATTATTATTATACAGTATTTATAAAGCGCCAATAGTTCGCTCAGCGCTGTACATTACAAAGGGGACAGAACAATACCAATACAATGCAAAACATGAGGGAATTGATGGCCCTGCTCTTTAAAGCTTACAATCTAGGGAGGGAGGGGATGGTGGCACAGGAGGAGAAAGCTGTGGGGGATGGAGTGGTGGGAAGCGTGGAGGAGGTCGGCAAGTTAGCAGGGGGTGGGGTAGGCTTCCCTGAAGAGATGGGTTTTCAGGGTGCGCCTAAAGGAGAGGAGAGTAGGTGATAATCTGATGGGTTGGGGCAGGGAGTTCCAGAGGATGGGTGACACCCTGGAGAAGTCCTGGAGGCGGGCATGGGAGGAGGAGACCAGGGAACTAGAGAGAAGGAGGTCTTGTGAGGAGCGGAGTGTGCGTGCTGGACGGTACTTGGATATTAGGTCAGTGATGTATTTTGGGGCAGTATGGTGGACAGCTTTGTACATCAGTGTTAGGATTTTGAATTTGATCCATTGCGCAATCGGAAGCCAGTGGAGGGATTGGCAGAGGGGGGTGGCGGAGATGGAGCAGTTGGAAAGGTGAATGAGTCTGGCAGCCGTATTCAGGATAGACTGAAGCGGGGATAGCCAGCGGCGAGGCAGGCCAGTGAGGAGGGAGTTGCAGTAGTCGAGTTGTGATATGATGAGGGAGTGGATGAGCTGTTTAGTGGTTTCTGGGGTTAGGAACGTGCGTATTTTGGCAATGTTGCGGAGGTGGAGTCTGCACGAGTTTGTTAAAGATTGGACTTGGGGCTGGAAGGATAGGTTGGAGTCCAGAATGATACCAAGTACTCTGGCCTGCGGGGCAGGTTTGATGGTGGCCTTGTTAGACGTGATGGAGAAGTCAATGGGGGGTGGTGTCCGGGCGGGGGGGGAAGACAAAAAACTTTAATGAATATTTCCAATTAAGTGGAGGACACAAAATCAATTTGAGGGTCATCAGTAATCTAGTTTGATACCACTGGGTATATTGTAAACACTTTATTATAAACTGTTGAGTACCAACCGGTAGGGTTTGGACAAAGGATTCCCAAAAATCAAAAAATGTTTTGTCCCCTGATTCATTAGTAAAGGAGGCCTTCATCCAGTCCATGCGAAAAACATAGGATAGTTTGAGTATAGTATAAACAAAGAAATAGTGGGGGGTTCCAGATAGATCCACTTATGGAGGATGGTTTTCCATGCTGAAAGGGATGTAATAGAGAGGAGTTGTTTGCAGCTTCTTGAGATCCTAGTAGCTATGTAATGTTTAATTATGCATGTCACCCTATTCTGTCCTTCCCCTTGGCTGTACTTTCGTGTTATTGTACTTATAATACTTACAAAGCTTTTCATAGCTTGTGCACATTAGAGTACATACGATTTTCACAATAGGAAACCACATTGACATAATTTTGTTTAAAAACAAGAACGTTTTTCCATTACTTTATCTCTGTTTTTCAGCTCCTTATGGTCAACCATCATCCACTGGAGCACATTAAATGTTAGAAACTCAAATAAATGTTTCAAAAAGAATAGTTTTATAATGGAATTCTAACCATCTATGGCCAGCTTAAGACTTACAAGTAAGCATGTATATGTAGCACTAGCTCCTTAAGAGTCACCAGAGAATTGGGTCCCCCTATAGTCCTGCGCAGCCAGGCAACATGCATTTTCCACAGACTTGCATCCAGGAGTCAGTAATCAGTCCTTGAGCTTTGTTTTGAAGTTTTATTAGGGGATTGAACTTGGATGGAGTAAGGGATGTAAGGAATGCCTAGTGGAACTGTGAAACTGAGGAGAACTTTCTGGAACTATATGCAAGTTTCTTCAGACAGCAAAAAATTCTCTTTTGGAGAGCTAGCTAGAGTGTCCAATTGTACCATCCCAGACCCTAGATTCTCCTAATCCAGACAATCTGGGTGAATCTCTGAGCAGGGGATCCAGTGCCTTTCATTTTAAAGTAACACAGTCCCAGGTAGTCACTAATCTCGTTTCCCCCCTGAGTGCTCCTTCCTCTATCTGGCCCAGGGGGTGCAGGTCTACTCACTCGTCCTACTCCTATGCTGCTGCTGGGTCAGTGAATGCTCTCAGGCCTTCCGCTGGGCTGCTCTTTCCCTGCCACACAAGTGGTCCTTTCTCTGGGGTTCGGTGAAGTCCCAAGCTTTCCTCCTTCCAAGCTTCCTATCTGGACCCCCTCCCAGGCTCCCGCTCTCCAGCCTCACTGCTGCTGAGCAGGCTTAGTTACTCTTAAAGGCTTTCCTGGCCACTTGCCAAGTGGGGATCGGCCCGGATCCTCTAAGAGTACACACCAGCTACTCTCCACCTCCACCCACTGCTTTTAGATCTTTCTCCAAAGTTCTAGAGCAGGGGAAAGTCCTAGAGAGTATTCTCAGCTCTTCTCAGTTCTGACCGCAATTTGACCCATCTGGCTATCACACCCAGGCTGCTGCTCAGCCCTCCTCTTTAACAATTGGAGCTAGAGCTCCCCCTGGCTGACTCAGAGGGTGTTACATATAGTTTTGCAAAAAGTTAGGATGTGCATACATTTTATGGCCACCACACTAAACAACTTTAGCCTCAAAATAGCGACTTGACTTTAAGCAAGGCCTTGTAGCAAGCCTTCATTTGGCAGTCATTACAACATAATCAGCTATGAAACCTCTACCATAAACACCAAGAAATACAGTTAGCTAAATTACTGGACTGCTCCTTAGATGATACCACAATTTGTCCAAAAGTGTCACATTAGCTCAGTGAGCGTTGGCTTTTTTTTTATATCTATGAATTCTAACATCTAGATGCAGTTTGGTTATTTCACATACTGTAGTTCTACTATTAGGTGGAATGTTAACTGCCCGATCTCATTTGTCTATGGCAGGTTGAGGGACCTTTTCTGTCCACACATATAATATTTCTATTACACACATTCCTGGAAGTGGCAAAAAATTAAGTAGATGCAGAAGCAACTACCGGTTGGAGACTAGTAACATCATAAGCACAAGTATATATCACCAGCACACTATGAATCTTGAGAAAGTTGTCCAAATGTATATTCCAGCAATCACATCACAGTAGTAGAAGGGAATGTTATGGAGCCATGCAGGACCCCTTCATCAGGCATCTTTCTCAAGGTCCTGGCAATATACAGTATACTTGTGCTCTTCTGTTCTTGATTTATACGTTGTACTATCATACCTGTATGCTCAGTGGATGTCATGCTTTCAAAACACCCACAAGCTGTCCTATCTATAGTAGTTAATTGTGCTTTCACTATCAAGAGTCTACTGGTAATAGTGTCATATTCATCCCATGTACATATTTAACAAGATCTTTTAAAACAGGAGGTGGGGGTATGTGTGTATATATATATATATATATATATATATATATGTCTTTTCATGTCAGACTGATTCACATGTGTAGTGTGGCGGCAGTAATCAGGTCAGAGTCCAGTTGCAAATAACTAAACTTGTATTGAGGTATCGGCTCAAAGTTACAAACAGCTCAGGACTGGGAACACTCACAAATCTGTGTGGCAATGTACAGCAGAGCAGGTTCTGATGTGCTGACAGCATCTGTCTCAGTGGGTGGAATGTGGTCTGGAGAATTCATGTCCAACTAGGAGGATTCCTGGAGAGGATAGCATGTCCCTGTGCTATACCTACTAGTTTGGAACCCTTTCGTACAGCTCTTCACTTTCCCTGTCAAATGGTCGACCTGTTCCTGCAATGTCCACTCGCAAAAATGCGCACCAAGCTCGGGAGCCAGGATCTTAAATAGACTCTGTCTGACCTAAGATGGCCACTAGAGTCACATGGAACAGTGACATCCTACCAGATCGCTTCCCAGTGACCCAGGACACCATAGAGGAGCACATTCCTCCTGACTGCTCCTCCATCTGCAATGCTGCTGCAGTTTGAGCAACACCTGCAGTGGAGAAAAGACTGCACCTACCTACACACACCAGTAGAGAATGCTCCTTTGGCCTACTGAACATCATCTTGGAGTTGTTTCTTCAGCAATAATAGAACCAAACATTACCCAATACCAACATTCACTTACAGGCAGGTCATATAGCTATAGAGTA